TCCAACGACTACAACTCCAGTGCCCACAACTACAACGCCAGTTCCAACAACTACAACGCCGGTTCCAACTACCACAACACCGCTTCCAACGACTACAACTCCAGTGCCAACAACAACGACACCGGTTCCAACGACTACAACGCCAGTTCCAACAACCACAACGCCAGTTCCAACAACCACAACACAACTTCCAACAACTACAACTCCTGTTCCAACAACTACAACACCTGTTCCAACAACTACAACGCCAGTTCCAACAACCACAACACCAGTTCCAACAACCACAACCCCGGTTCCAACGACTACAACTCCCGTGCCCACAACCACGACACCGGTTCCAACAACTACAACGCCAGTTCCAACAACTACAACACCGGTTCCAACAACCACAACACCGGTTCCAACGACTACAACACCAGTGCCCACAACAACGACACCGGTTCCAACGACTACAACGCCAGTTCCAACAACTACAACGCCGGTTCCAACATCTACAACGCCAGTTCCTACAACCACAACACCACTTCCAACAACTACGACGCCAGTTCCAACAACCACGACACCTGTTCCAACAACTACAACGCCAGTTCTAACAACTACAACTCCGGTTCCAACAACCACAACACCAGTTCCAACAACTACAACGCCGGATCCAACAACCACAACACCTGTTCCAACATCTACATCAAATCCAACAACGACATCGCCCGCAGAAACCACCACTGCAGAAACTACTATAGATGACTGTCCAACGGATGTTGATGATCAATGCTCCTCAACAACTACCACTCCTGTTCCCACAACTACAACGCCAGTTCCCACAACCACACCTGTTCCAACAACCACAACACCGGCTCCCACAACAACAACTCCTGTGTTAACAACCACAACACCGGTTCCAACCACAACGCCAGTTCCAACAACCACAACAGCGGTTCCAACAACCACAACACCGGTTCCCACAACTACAACTCCAGTTCCAACAACTACTACACCGGTTCCAACCACAACGCCTGTTCCAACAACCACAACATCGGTTTCAACAACCACAACACCGGTACCAACAACTACAACGCCACTTCCGACAACTACAACGCCGGTTCCAACAACCACGACACCGGTTCCAACAACTACAACGCCAGTTCCAACAACTACAACTCCTGTTCCAACAACCACAACACCAGTTCCAACAACCACAACGCCTGTTCCAACAACTACAACTCCTGTTCCAACAACCACAACACCAGTTCCAACAACTACAACGCCAGTTCCAACAACCACAACACCAGTTCCAACAACTACAACTCCTGTTCCAACGACCACAACACCAGTTCCAACAACCACAACGCCTGTTCCAACAACTACAACTCCTGTTCCAACAACCACAACACCAGTTCCAACAACTACAACGCCAGTTCCAACAACCACAACACCAGTTCCAACAACCACAACGCCTGTTCCAACAACTACAACTCCTGTTCCAACAACCACAACACCAGTTCAAACAACTACAACGCCTGTTCCAACAACTACAACGCCGGTTCCAACAACCACAACACCGGTTCCAACGACTACAACTCCAGTGCCCACAACTACAACGCCAGTTCCAACAACTACAACGCCGGTTCCAACAACCACAACACCGGTTCCAACGACTACAACTCCAGTGCCAACAACAACGACACCGGTTCCAACGACTACAACGCCAGTTCCAACAACCACAACGCCAGTTTCGACAACTACAACGCCGGTTCCAACAACCACGACACCGGTTCCAACAACTACAACGCCAGTTCCAACAACCACAACACCAGTCCCAACAACCACAACACCAGTTCCAACGACTACAACTCCAGTGCCCACAACCACGACTCCGGTTCCAACAACTACAACGCCAGTTCCAACAACTACAACACCGGTTCCAACAACCACAACACCGGTTCCAACGACTACAACACCAGTGCCCACAACAACGACACCGGTTCCAACGACTACAACGCCAGTTCCAACAACTACAACGCCGGTTCCAACATCTACAACGCCAGTTCCTACAACCACAACACCACTTCCAACAACTACGACGCCAGTTCCAACAACCACGACACCTGTTCCAACAACTACAACGCCAGTTCCAACAACTACAACTCCGGTTCCAACAACCACAACACCAGTTCCAACAACTACAACGCCGGATCCAACAACCACAACACCTGTTCCAACATCTACATCAAATCCAACAACGACATCGCCCGCAGAAACCACCACTGCAGAAACTACTATAGATGACTGTCCAACGGATGTTGATGATCAATGCTCCTCAACAACTACCACTCCTGTTCCCACAACTACAACGCCAGTTCCCACAACCACACCTGTTCCAACAACCACAACACCGGCTCCCACAACAACAACTCCTGTGTTAACAACCACAACACCGGTTCCAACCACAACGCCAGTTCCAACAACCACAACAGCGGTTCCAACAACCACAACACCGGTTCCCACAACTACAACTCCAGTTCCAACAACTACTACACCGGTTCCAACCACAACGCCTGTTCCAACAACCACAACATCGGTTTCAACAACCACAACACCGGTACCAACAACTACAACGCCACTTCCGACAACTACAACGCCGGTTCCAACAACCACGACACCGGTTCCAACAACTACAACGCCAGTTCCAACAACTACAACTCCTGTTCCAACAACCACAACACCAGTTCCAACAACCACAACGCCTGTTCCAACAACTACAACTCCTGTTCCAACAACCACAACACCAGTTCCAACAACTACAACGCCAGTTCCAACAACCACAACACCAGTTCCAACAACTACAACTCCTGTTCCAACGACCACAACACCAGTTCCAACAACCACAACGCCTGTTCCAACAACTACAACTCCTGTTCCAACAACCACAACACCAGTTCCAACAACTACAACGCCAGTTCCAACAACCACAACACCAGTTCCAACAACCACAACGCCTGTTCCAACAACTACAACTCCTGTTCCAACAACCACAACACCAGTTCAAACAACTACAACGCCTGTTCCAACAACTACAACGCCGGTTCCAACAACCACAACACCGGTTCCAACGACTACAACTCCAGTGCCCACAACTACAACGCCAGTTCCAACAACTACAACGCCGGTTCCAACAACCACAACACCGGTTCCAACGACTACAACTCCAGTGCCAACAACAACGACACCGGTTCCAACGACTACAACGCCAGTTCCAACAACCACAACGCCAGTTTCGACAACTACAACGCCGGTTCCAACAACCACGACACCGGTTCCAACAACTACAACGCCAGTTCCAACAACTACAACGCCAGTTCCAACAACCACAACACCAGTTCCAACAACTACAACGCCTGCTCCAACAACTACAACGCTAGTTCCAACAACCACAACACCGGTTCCAACGACTACAACGCCAGTTCCAACAACCACAACACCAGTTCCAACAACTACAACGCCGGATCCAACAACCACAACACCTGTTCCAACAACTACAACGCCAGTTCCAACAACCACAACACCAGTCCCAACAACCACAACACCAGTTCCAACGACTACAACTCCCGTGCCCACAACCACGACACCGGTTCCAACAACTACAACGCCAGTTCCAACAACTACAACACCGGTTCCAACAACCACAACACCGGTTCCAACGACTACAACACCAGTGCCCACAACAACGACACCGGTTCCAACGACTACAACGCCAGTTCCAACAACTACAACGCCGGTTCCAACATCTACAACGCCAGTTCCTACAACCACAACACCACTTCCAACAACTACGACGCCAGTTCCAACAACCACGACACCTGTTCCAACAACTACAACGCCAGTTCCAACAACTACAACTCCGGTTCCAACAACCACAACACCAGTTCCAACAACTACAACGCCGGATCCAACAACCACAACACCTGTTCCAACATCTACATCAAATCCAACAACGACATCGCCCGCAGAAACCACCACTGCAGAAACTACTATAGATGACTGTCCAACGGATGTTGATGATCAATGCTCCTCAACAACTACCACTCCTGTTCCCACAACTACAACGCCAGTTCCCACAACCACACCTGTTCCAACAACCACAACACCGGCTCCCACAACAACAACTCCTGTGTTAACAACCACAACACCGGTTCCAACCACAACGCCAGTTCCAACAACCACAACAGCGGTTCCAACAACCACAACACCGGTTCCCACAACTACAACTCCAGTTCCAACAACTACTACACCGGTTCCAACCACAACGCCTGTTCCAACAACCACAACATCGGTTTCAACAACCACAACACCGGTACCAACAACTACAACGCCAGTTCCCACAACCACGACACCTGTTCCAACAACCACAACACCGGTTCCAACAACCACAACACCGGTTCCCACAACTACAACTCCAGTTCCAACAACCACAACACCTAAACCAACCACCACATCACCGATTGCAACTACCACCACACCGGTTCCAACAACCACAACACCGGTTCCAACAACCACAACACCGGTTCCCACAACCACAACACCGGTTCCCACAACTACAACTCCAGTTCCAACAACCACAACACCGAAACCAACCCCCACAACACCGATTGCAACTACCACCACACCGGTTCCAATTACCACGACACCGGTTCCAACAACCACAACACCAAAACCTACTACTACAACACCGAAACCAACCACCACAACACCGATTGCAACTACCACCACACCGGTTCCAATTACCACGACACCGGTTCCAACAACCACAACACCAAAACCTACGACTACAACACCGAAACCAACCACCACAACACCGATTGCAGTGACTACCACACCGGATCCAACAACCACAACACCGGTTCCAACAACTACAACGCCAGTTCCCACAACCACGACACCTGCTCCAACAACTACAACGCCCGTTCCAACAACCACAACACCGGTTCCCACAACCACAACACCGGTTCCCACAACTACTACTCCAGTTCCAACAACCACAACACCGAAACCAACCACCACAACACCAATTGCAACTACCACCACACCGGATCCAACAACCACAACACCGGTTCCAACAACTACAACGCCAGTTCCCACAACCACGACACCTGCTCCAACAACTACAACGCCCGTTCCAACAACCACAACACCGGTTCCCACAACCACAACACCGGTTCCCACAACTACAACTCCAGTTCCAACAACCACAACACCGAAACCAACCACCACAACACCGATTGCAACTACCACCACACCGGTTCCAATTACCACGACACCGGTTCCAACAACCACAACACCAAAACCTACTACTACAACACCGAAACCAACCACCACAACACCGATTGCAGTGACTACCACACCGGTTCCAACAACTACAACGCCAGCGCTAACAACAACGACACCAGTTCCAACAACTATGGGACCTACAACACCTCCTGACAACCAATGCCCTATAATTAAGCCTCCTGCTGTAACAACAACTGCTCCAATCCAATGTAACTCAAGCGCAACCATACAAGAATCTACTTGTGACACCGTAACTGTTATTATCAAAATAGGGGAGTCCACTGTGACGCTTGATGTTGGAGATTCTACTACCATTATAATGAACACAGACGACGTGGGTAAATGTACGGGAATTAATGGTTGCCAAGGTGTGCAGTGCATATCGACTACTCCTGTGGATCCTACAAATTGTGGTTTCAATTGCGATCCTTCTGTGGTAATCACATTACCAAACTCAACTCCAAGTCTGGTCGTAATTCCATCAAATGATAGTATCTCAACATCAGTTATAATAAATCCTCCAAAGTTAAGTACGAAAATGTTTTCTCGTTCAATAATTTCGCCACGTTATGTTGACGATAACGAATTTAGGTGTCCAGGAGTTGGAAAATATCCAGATGAAGTTTATTGTAATATCTATTACTTGTGTTTGAACAATAGTTTATTTGGTAGTAAACAATATTGCGTTGACGGAAGCAATTTCGACGCAAAAAGTAAACGCTGTACCGCATCACCTGTGCAGTGCCCCGGAGAACCAGATTTGGAATGTGCCTTTGTGGGGTACCATTCGCATCCGTTGTACTGCAACAGATACTATTTGTGCACTTGGAATGCGAGCGATCAAATGTACGACGTGCAACACTACCGCTGTCCAAATCAACACAAATTTGATGCAGGAATACTGCAGTGTAAGACCGAAAATGTAGAATGTTCTCCGTATTCCACTATAGAAATTCCTTTGAACGAACAACCGCAGTTCACTTGCGAAGCGAACGGGCTGTACGAAAACGAATACGACTGTACAGAATACTACCTTTGTCGGCACTCAAATCCAGTGGCTATAAGGAAGAAATGCCAAGGTGAAATGTATTTCGACAGACTACGTAAAATATGTATGAATAAGGAAGAAGTGCATTGTCCGATAAGCGTGGCGAATTCTTAGAGCTCCCACCAGAAGAATTCCGACCACCTACTATCAAGTACCTATACTCTTTATACCTAAGTTAGGTGCGGTCAAAATTTTCACCCATTGCGGCGCACGCAATAGTGATAGTGAAAGTTTTGCCTCTCAAACAATAAATGCATAACATTTTGATTAGATTTTCTTATTTGGCCTTATGTCTGAAATGGTAGTGTTTTTGCCATAATTGTATGTGACAATTCAACTCATGTAGATATAGAAAACCGCATAAGCCGCAGCAATTGTCACAGCGGCAAAAGTTACCTGCAACTTTTCCAGCGACAAATGCACTAGTGGTTTTTTCACTTATTAATTTTCGAACCAATTATCGCATTATCTTTTGCCATATGACTAGTTTGACGTGTGCCAATAATTATTAGTTTGATGAATTTCTTGTTCGTTAAATTGTCCTGCCCAATTACATTCGAGGTTTGTGTTTAAACCGAGTAAATTTGTGTTGTAATTCAAATTAGTTTCCTTTTAACAATTGAACTCGAAAAACTGTCAACGTAAAAATGCTCATCTAATTGCTAGGCAACAGATTTTCATTACCTAAACAACCCAAATTTACTCGATAAAATACAAACCTCTTGTGCAATTATAAGTGAAATTATTTCTGAACACTCGGCGATTGTAGCAATTCTGGTATCCTGCCACCACTACCTTAAGTACTCCATTATCTGTTATAGCTCAACTTACAAATTAGGTATAAAAAATTAGACTTGATCAACGCACAATCAAATTCAGGGCAACATAATCATGTCAAAAAATCCGAATAGTATTGGCAAATGGCAAAGAGTACATTCTAAAATGGTGGCCTGGATTGAACTGATTACGATGCTAATTTGTAAGACCCAAGAGAAGACCCCACCTTACCCTTCATTACTTGACTGATTATTTGATTAAACCTTTTCAACAAATTCCTACTTTTCCGTCTTTTTGTGCGAGCTGTCGTGAACCGGTCAAAGCTTCTTTATAGAGGTAGGCAACGTACACTACAACAAGAAGCGTAGCGTTATATTTTTTAAATAAATTTGAGCTACATTTTAATTTTACAGTAATTACGGATATGGTCTTTAATACAAAATATAGAAAAAGTATAATAATAAGCAGATTAAAAAATATATGGACAGCTAACTTAGGTCCATACCTGTACTTACCTTCCGATAGTTAAGTGTGGATTAATTAAACAAGTAAAAAGGTTTTCGCTCTAAGGCGAGTAACTTCAACGCATTTTCCATGAATTGACCAGTACTTTCCAAAAGGTCATATAGCTATGTGCGCTATGTTTTCCTTTACTAGAGGGATATATGGATATGATTTCAAAAAATTATCTCTATAAATAAGAAAGTTGGCATTGCGCAGCCTGTTCATGCGCAGTTCAATCATCACAATTTTCCTTGGCTCAGGTGCCAAAGCTCTACGCTACTGAACGCAAAAAGAACGAACTAAATATCTTGAAAACTGTAGGAATCGTGAAGGCCTCTGACAGACGGACGAACAGAGGAAGTGTCTGCAATAGCGCACCCAACTTCGTTGGAAAATGCACTAAAAAGGTATTCATTATGTGTAGCGAAAATGTGCTAATGCGTCGTTTTGGAATTTCATCTTTCTATACTATCACGGCCCCCTTGTAGACTTTAACTACTTTGATACGGTTATTTATTTCTTCTCCTACATAGGTGTATGTTCTGTTGCATATAGGTTCAAAAAGGTGTTATTCATTGTATCGTCTTTCCACCAGAAGCAGCCAAGCAGCTTATACAGGGTGCCCATTATGTATGGAATATAGTATATATCTCGGTAAATATCGAATGTATACAAAATTTGTCTATATAAAAGTTGTTTAACATTTTATTTCCCATAATAAGGCAGGGTTCCATTGTTTTTATTTTAGAAAACAAATGAATAAGAAAAAACAGTTGAATTCTTTAAAATAGCAATGCACATTTTTATTAGACTCATTTTGATAGAGATTTTTTTCTCTTGTCAATGACGCAACACGTTATCATTCGTATAGAAGAAATTAATTTTTATTTCAAGTTTTTTGCGATTTGGTTATGCCACTGCCTTGCAGTAAATGGTGAATATTTTGAACATTCATTACGATGAAAACTATTTTACTGCTACCTTCAAGGTTTAATAAGAAACGTAATCGGTCATTTGTTTTATTTTGATGTAGTATGTCTGGAGTAATGTTATTGATCTAATTATAATAAATTTTTTTGAAAAATCATCGAAAAGAGAAAAAAATCTATCAAATGAGCCTAATGAAAAGATGTCTTTCATTAAAAAAATTCAATTGTTTTTCGTTAGGTACTCATTTGTTTTCTGAAATATAAAGAACTGTCTTATTATGGAAAATAAAATGTTAATTCATATAGAAAAATTTTGAATACATTCGATATTTACAGAAATATATATATACTATATTCTATACGTAACGGGCACCCTCTATTGGGCTGGTTTCCCCGGCGTGGTTCTGGCGTCAGGGACGGGGGATATTGGGAACTTGAGAACTTATGGTCAACCGGGCAGCGGAATATCGAAACAATTGTAATTGTCGTAGGGGTCTATCAAGCCGACACTGAAAACGTTGACTTACCCTATACTTACCGTTGGCAACTCTGGGAAAAACTACAAGCAGAGCCACCCTACCTTTCAAGTCGAAACGATGGACGTTTCGCGGCACTTTTGAATTTGGATGGCAGTTCAGAACTTTTGTGCGTAAGAAATGACAAGAACAAATAAATATATTACGCACACAACAAGACCATAGCAGGGAAACCTTCTACGGAACAAAAACCCTGGCATAGGCCACAAAATACATGAAATAAATCACCTACAGCAATAAAATACAAGAGAACATACACATGAATAAAACCTCTCAAATTGTATGATAAAAATCAGATAATCAAATCAAACGCAATTAATCTTTTCACTGCTGCGCACGTATACATATATACATTCTGAAAATGCAGAATCTGTGTGCGACGTACGTATATATATATATACGTTGTACCTGTTTAAAGTTCTGTGCTACCTCCGTATATCTACGTGCTGCAATCATTTGCACACCATCGGAAAGCCCATTTCGTGAGCTTTCCAACGAGTACCAACACGACTCAATTTAGTTTTGTCCAGTACGCTAAAAACGGTTTCAGGTAACACATGTGCGAATTCATTTTGTTGTCGTAGTAGTTATTTATTCAGACGTTTGATAAATTGTTTTATCCATAAGTCAATCAGTAGATAGCGGTTAATTTTTTTATTTTTTATTTATTTTTTGTTTTTATATAAAAAAAATAAAAAAATAAAATAAAAAATAAAAAAATCAAATCAAAAATAAATAAAAAATTTTGATGCCCCTCCCATAAAATACATTGAGCTTTACTTCCCAACCTTGCTGTGCACGTATATGCACGTGCTGGGTGCTGCAAATCAATCTGCTGATGACGTATATACATATACGCGCGACGATTTCTCTCAGTGCGACGTACGTAAATATACGTTTTGTACAATTTTAATTTAGCACAGGCTGTTGACACTCGAATTTTTAATTTAGCAGCGAAAAGGTTAAACAAGTTCATAAAAACAAAATACACAAGACATCATAAATGCAGTGGAAAACATGATAAATCAATTCAGTACAAAAACACATCAAAATACCTGTACGATCAATTGAGATAACACAACTGGTAAAATAATAAATGGCACGTACATAGGAAACAACAAAATGGTGTGGCTCTACTCCAGCCTTCAGTTAACATAAATTAATTTAACACGAAAAGTACATGTGAGAATGCCAATAGCAAGTATTCGTGTGAATCGATTATCGCTTAAGCAGAACATATTTTAAATAGAGGAAAAGTTAATGAGAAGGCCACTAAATATCTCGCATTGCTAAGATGCTAAGAACTGCAATCCTACTCCACAAAGACAAAATGAACCACTCACACACACACACAATCATCGAAACATCAAATAAGAGAGCCCCCCTTCGTATAGCTAACGCACAAGAACTGCAGCGCGTCAAGAATAAGAAAGTAACAGATACACCGAACAATCAAATTGTGTTAGGTACTTCCCGCACGGAATAGTTACGAATCAATCGGACAGAGCAACATCGCACTGATAATCAACTCCTAGTGAATACAGAAATAAATACTTAATAAAACAAAATAATGGCATAATCACCTATACAGTATAACAAACAAGATTCATCTAACGGTATCCAAAAACAAAAGCATGGAGTAAGCCATATTTAGATACCGTAGTTTATGCAAAATCAGCAAAATGAAAATAATATCAAATTGTGGCAAGAAATTCAATGATTCATGGTTAGTACAAGAAAGAATAAAACGGTTACTACCTTACCTGTAATTACCTTCAAAACACCACAACCAAAATAATCAAGAATAAAAACCGGGAACGCGTGATGCCCTCCGTCGACCCCGTCGCCCTCTTCTTTCTTCCGCCACGCTCTTTTTCCCCCAGCTTCGTTACGAAAATCGCCTAGTATACGGCATCTGCGCAAAACGGTCGATTGGTTATATACAGAGCATGTCATATTTTTGTTTCAGATGCAAAGGTGTGTTGCGTAACCATAAGGGTGGATTATCACACAGTGCTCCAATAAACAAAGCGGTAATGGTGGAAATAACCTTGATACATCTGTCAAATATATAAAAGCACCTACATATTATATAACTATTATAATTTTCATTAGCATTGGATGCTATTGCAGAAATCCCGGAAAATTTACAAAACGCGCGGAGGAGACTGAAACGCAAGCCTTAGCTCATGTTATAGAAAAAACTGCACAGGGATGGTTTTCTGCATGGCAACAACATTTTAAAATTGATTTCTGTGTATCTTTCCCCAAATTAAAAAGGTTGGTTTTAAGCGTTGTAGTAATGAACCATAGTTCAGAGGATTCTAGTTATGTTCAATATGCACCAATTAAACTTGAAAAATTTAAACGCACTCGTGCTATTTGGCTGGATTGGCAATTACCTAGTTACTCATATTATGTTACTCGGCAACACTCATACATGTTTCACTTAGTAGCTGGGTTAACGAGAACAGAGGATCTTCTCAGGTCTAGGACCCCATGTGCCACCCGGCTACGTATCCCCCCAGAACAGAGTAGAATAGAATAGACCTTACTTACCTACTGTAAACCAATTGAAACAGACAGAGATAAAAACAGACATTAGAAAAAATAACAATAAAGGGAGAATCTGGAGAAGTAAAATATGCCCACTCCTTTCAAGAAAGCTATGTTTCTGGTTCTTCAGAAAACCAACCAACTACTACCAATTACATGAAACAAAAGGAAAAAATTATCTGCTGTTGCATCTTCCTCAAGCTGGCAGGAATACCGCATAAGGAAATTAGAGAGAAAGAGACGGAGCAGAGAAAAAAAGAGAAAATTTGGCAAAACTAGACAGAAAAACAGAAATGAGGAAGAAATTAAGAAAGAAAATCAGCATCGATCGTAAAGTGACCAATACGATATTGGGGACTAGATGATCGTCGAATACGATTCTGAATATTTTCTTGGTTTGGTTATAGGTATATTAGAACAATCATATACCTACCTCCGTGAACGACCACCCTGTATATGGGAGGAATAGGAGGAAAAACGATTAAAACTGAAAAAATGATGCGGAAACACGAAAATGAAATACAAGAAAGAAAAATGATACTAAAAGATGGAGATTTTACATTATACAATCACATGAATATGAAAAGGATAGTGGACGAGCTGAACAACATAATAGAAGAATCGGAAGATGACGTTATAATAATTGGAGGGGATTATAAACGCGCGGATAGGCAAGGAAGGGTGATGGATCGCTCGCACAGAAGAAGAAAGCAAAAGAAAATCGAAAGATAACGTGACAAATAAAGAAGGGAAAGAATTGGTTGACTTCGTAGAATAAAAAGGGTGGTACATCCTCAACGGAAACGTGAAATGAGACGAAGAAGGAGAATATACATACATATGAAGCAGAGGGCAGTCGGTAATAGACTATATTATTCTAAATGAAAAAGGGAAAGAACACTTAAAAAATTTTCAAGTAGACCAAAGAATAGAACCCGATCACCAACCAATATCCACAACGATGAAAGCAAACAAAAGAAATTACAAAAACGA